GAGTGTGAGTGAGTGAGTGAGTGTGAGTGCGTGTGAGAGAGAGAGTGAGTGTATGTGTGAGTGTACGTGTGTGAGTGAGTGAGTGTGTGAATGAGAGAGAGAGAGAGAGAGAAAGTGTGTGTGTGAGAGTGTGTGTGTGTGAGTACGTGTGTGAGTGTGTGAGTGAGTGTACGTGTGTGAGTGTACGTGTGTGAGTGAGAGTGAGAGTGAGTGAGTGAGTGTGCGTGTGTGAGAGAGTGTACGTGTTACACAAGTATAGTAATACTAGTAAATTTTGACCTTGTGTGTGTGTGTGTGTGTGTGTGTGTGTGTTTGAGTGTGTGTGTGTTTGAGTGTGTGTGTGTTTGAGTGTGTGTGTGTGTGTGTGTGTGAGAGAGAGAGAGAGAGAGCAGAAGCAGCCGTCTGAATGGTTTTCTTTAAAGATGCAGCAAGGTTAAGAATTCCAGCAGAGCACAGATTACAGCCGTGTATTTTTATCCGGTCTATTTTCTGCTCTCTTCACGTGTGAGGGACACTCGCTGACGAGACGCAAACAAACCGCACAAATGACACTGTAGTGTCTTATTACTTGTTTTTGAAGCATTAGATAAATCCCATTGGGAACAATGAGATCCTCCAAAGATAAAGTATTAGACAGAAGTGAGAAGGGCCGTTTTACCCAACAGTTTCTCTTTGTTAGTGTGGAGATCCATCAGACGAGAGATGTTCCGTTTATTATTCTTTTTTTTTTTTTTATGCCAAAAATCATTAGGATATTAAGTAAAGATCATGTTCCATGAAGATATTTTGTAAATTTCCTACCGTAAATATATCAAAACTTAATTTTTGATTAGTAATATGCATTGCTAAGAACTTCATTTGAACAACTTTAAAGATGATTTTCTCAATATTTTGATTTTTTTGCACCCTCAGATTCCAGATTTTCAAATATTGTCCTATCCTAACAAACCATACATCAATGGAAAGATTATTTATTCAGCTTTCAGATGATGCATAAATCAAAATTTCATCAAATTGACCCTTATGACTGGTTTTGTGCTCCTGGGTCACAAATATTATTCCCTGCCATTTCTTATGCATGTTTTGAAGTAAATCAAGTCATTTACATTCGATATTATACTATTATACTCACAATGTTAGAATCAGCATTTATTGACGTTTCCTCACCTCACTGTTGTGTCCCCGGAGGTTGAAGTTGATGCGCTGCGGGGAGGGCCGGTCTCTCCTGCCGTGGCTGGAGGTGAAGGTGACGCCCACGACTCCCCGGCCGTTCCCCGCGGCCAGCCAGCCCTCCTCATAGCAGCGCCTCCTGCACACGGGCTTCTCCTTCTCGCTGCGGGGCACGCGGCCCTTCCAGGACAGGCACAGGATGTTGGAGTCGCTGCAGAGGACGGGCCCAAGCTCCACCGCCGCGAACATGCCTGCTTCTACGAGCGGATCCGCACGAGTCCACAGAGTCACCCGGCTCACCGGCGGGTCCTTGGGGTTCCTGCTGCTTCACAAACACTTCCGGCCCAAAAGTACTGCATAAAACTAGCAACAAGGCACATAAATTAAGTCGCCAGCCTTTCCCGAGAAATCTGGAGGCATAATAATTCACCAAATATCCAAGTCACAGAAAACTTTCTCCTCCGCGAGGTAGCCCCCTCATGACGTCATCGCGGCCGGCGCACGCCCGCTCCTGGGGGGTGACGTCATCGACGGACGGAACGCTCCTCTGCGCACGCTCATGGCAGCGGCGGCGCGCACGCACGGGATTCTCCTGCGCGTCAGCTGCTCCTGCGCTCCGCCCGTGACGTCATCGCTTCAGAAGAGCCGCCGGCCAATCAGCGTCGGGGATTCCTTTAAGAGGACAAGGACAGAATATAAACACAATTAATGATTCAGAACGTGTCTGCGAGCGTCAGAACATACAAATGCTGTCGAATCACGTTGAAATGAACAAAAACACAGCTATAAACGCACACGTTCGTTTCTGAGGTAACGTTCCCGGAAACAGTATTACTTCAGAACAAATGGCGCTTTAATTTGCCGTTTTACCTCAGTGTTTCACAAAACGAACAATAAAAACGCCAGTGTTCACCATAATGTCTAGTAACGCGTAATTATAGCAAAAACAACAGAGCGATCCGTCACCTAATGCGCTAGTTTACGCGCTGGATATCCATAATGCATCATTCGATCTGTTTTTATGACAGATCCAACGATAATAACAGCATTTTGAGAAACAAATATGGACAATTCAGTACAAATATAGAATTACCGCGAATCTGAAACTCGAATGTGGTTATTAGATTAACAGACACTGTAATGCTAGATAAAATCTTCACATCTAAGTTATCCAAAGCGTCGTCATCTTAAGTGTCGTATTGTTCAGAAAAAGCGTCTTTTAGCTTCATGTGTGTGTGTGAGGCTTTTGTTAGCTCCGCAGCTACACTCACTTCCCGCGCTCCTCGCTGGTTTCCCGCTTTAAAACGCCAGAACCGGGTGTGCTAGAGGCACGGAACCGGTCCACGGATGATACCGAAGCCCGAACCAGCCGGTGCTGCTCTTTACCTGTACGTGTGTGTGTCAGACGAGTGTGTTTAGCGCTGCTGTCTCTGCTTCTGATGCTGTCTGGGCCGCTGCGCTGGGTCACGTGACCACCATATGCTCGCATAGATATATATAGAGCTATGTAGATATAGAGAGATAGAGAGATAGATACGTAAATACATTCCCCCGCCGGCGCTTTGATTTTGATTTCATCTACAGAACATGCACGATTTCACACTAATACAACAGAAAAAAAGGACAAACTACTGTAAATAAAGTGATTATATACAGTATTGTTGACGGTTAGATGCTGCATGATAAATGAGCGCGTATCGAATAGTGTTCCGCACAGTATTTTCGTTTTAAGATAAAAGTGGCTAAATTAAATCTCATAAAACTCACCAGATTTATTATTTATTTTATTGATTTCTTTGAATGAACTTTATTGAACAATATATGCACAATGTCTTAATCAGACAACAGACGAGCATCATAAGATAAGAAAATAGATTCCTAGGGGTTTTCAGCGAGTTTAAGATGTGCTATTAATTACAGCTGTTTGCATTTGTTTCAGCGACAAAAAGTTATGAGTTCTTTGTGAAATATGCAGAAATCTGGAAGAATTTTCAGGAATCTGTTTTTATGCAAAAATAACTCAAGAATAATAACTGTGTTAATCGCTAAATCATGCGTTTCATCTTTCAGGAATAAACCGAATAATACACTTTCCTTTGTTTAAACGAAGGACAATCTTCAAATTTAGCGTCTTCAAAAACGTATGCTTTGACGTCACTTCCGCTTCCGAGGCAGAAAACATGGCGGCCTTCAGGTCGAGCGCCAGGATCTTTCTCGGACACTTCCTCTCGGTACTAAACTTAATTTATTTGACAGAAAACATCATGACAACATCATCAAAGCTATCCCACAATCAGTTGTCTTCCTCAGCTTTTGGTGAATGGAGTTTCTCTTGCGAACCTCACTTCACTGTGATCCCGAATGTCTTTGTTAAGGAACTATTTCCTTTCTCTTCAAATAAAAAGTCAATATTCCAATATTTCTCTAAGGATGAAGTGTGTCGACTTCTAAAGGTCTGTTCAGTAACACACATCTAATTAAGTGATGAAAAGCATGTGCAGCATAAATATCACCACTGCTCATCTTTGCACCGATTAAACACTGCTTTTCCACCAAATTATATGTAATAATATCTAATATATATATGTGTCCCTGCAGCACAAAAGCAGTGTTAAGTCGCTGGGGTATATTTGTAGCAATAGCCAACAATACATTGTATGGGTCAAAATTATACATTTCTCTTTTATGCCAAAAATCATTAGGATATTAAGTAAAGATCATGTTCCATGAAGATATTTAGTAAATGTCCTACCGTAAATATATCAAAACTTAATGTTTGATTAGTAATATGCATTGCTAAGAACTTCATTTGAACAACTTTAAAGATGATTTTCTCAGTATTTTAGAAATATATATATACACACACATACAATACATTTTATATAAATGTAAAGTATAATATAGAATAAATATGTATTTTTATATATTTTAAATACTTTTTAGTTAGTTCAAATATTTTAATGTTTTCAAATTTTTTTTTAAATACTGGTTTTAATATTTAATTTATTGTCATTTTATACACAGCTACACATTTTTTTAAATGTATATTTTATAGTTTTTAATTAGCCTGTATATTTATATTTTTATAATTCTAATGTTTTATACATATAAATATAAAGTATTTATTTAACACTATTTTTATATATAAATTTATTTTATTTATAAATAAAATGAATGTATTTTTGTATACATTGTACTCTGTAAAATGTGTCAGAAACTGGTTACACTTCAGCATGGGTTACTTTCAGGTTTCCGTAGTAACGGGCTCATGTTTGTCTGGAGTATATTCAGTGTAATCTGCTGAGGGCGTTGCTATGGAGGTCACCAAGGTAACAGCAGCTGCTTCAGTAGAACACGATGCTTGTCTTCTGCACAGACCGAACACATTGAGAAAGCGCTGAGAGACCGCAGCAGACTGGATCCGTGATGAACACAGCGTCTGCTCATAAACACAGACGGAGACTCAGACACCGCTTCTGTCCACTGAAGGATTCAGACTCACTAAACCAAGAAACAACGGCATGGCTTCTGTTATAATATCAAAGAAATGACACCAGCGCACTTCTCTTTCAGCTAGCATTCTTTTATTTGACAAATATCTACCTCACTATTATTTATTTTCTTAGTTAATATATTGATAACATTTCGTCTGAAAAGGTTACATCTTCATTCAAAAGAGATCTTCAGCAACATTCAGAAAAGCATTATTTAATTACACATTTATATATGAATACATATTTATTTGAATCATAATACAATATAAATAAATACAACTATACATTTATATATACATATATACACTGCCGTTCAAAAGTTTGGGATCAGTAAGACTATGTTTTTTAAAGCTCAGCAAGGCTGCATTTATTTGATCAAAAATACAGAAAAAAACAGTAATGTTATTACAATATAAAATAATGGTTTCTATTTTAATATCCTTTAAAATATAATTTATTTCTGTGATGCGTGGCTGTATTTTCAGCATCATTACTCCAGTATAAAGTGTCACGTGATCTTCAGAAATCATTCTAATATGCTGATTTATTATTAGAATTATTAATGCTGTGCTGACAAATATTTCTTTGGAAACTGATACTTTTTTCAGGATTCTTTGATGAATAAAAAGTTAAAAAGAACAGCAATTATTCAAAATAGAACTCTTTTCTAACAATATCAATCTTTGCTGCCACTTCGTAACAATTGAACACATCCTCGCTGAATAAAAGTTTTAATTTCTTTCTAAAAAAAGAAAGAATAGAAATGTACCGACCCCAAACTTTTGAACTGTAGTGTATATTGTTTTTACTTTTTATTCATCAAAGAATCCTGAAAAAAAGTATAAATTACATTTTAATGTATATTGTACATCATAATAATATTTCACAATGTTACATTTTTTCCTGTATTTTTGATCAAATAAATGCAGCCCTGATGAGCAGAAGATACTCCTGTAAAAACATTAAAAATCGTTCTGATCCCAAACTTTTGACCGGTAGTACATATATATATATATATATATATATAAAATAAATGTAGTTTTATTTATATTATATTAATGTTTTATATAATAGAATTAAAATTCTATCTAAAATATCTGTCATATATATGCAGCTGTCAGTAAACAGTCACAGAAATGGTTAAATCCACACATCTGATGTGAAGAATGAAAAGCAGCGAGACAGATCTGCAGCCGTGCTTGCTTTAATGCAGGAGTGAAATAAAGCACACAGCAGCATCTGAGAAGCACATGAGGGTGTGTAGATGTCAGTGTGTTACTCACAGCTCCTCGTCTGCGTCTGCAATCAAACGAGTCTCTCCTCTGAAGCCCAGCGGAGTCTCACACACACACACACACACACACATGAAGAAAACAGCACGTCAAATACACTCATCCTCTGGAAAAGCAGAGCTGTGCAACAGAATGAACACGTGCAGACACAGAAAGAGGTCTCTAGAGGCTCGTCCTCTTACCTGAGCAGCAGCAGATATCGGTGTTATTCTGCAGCGGTTCATCACTCGCTGTTCACACGTCTGGAGAAGCTCCTTACATTTCAGTGCGCCTCAGATATCATATCGGGAAATCTTGTTCGTGTAGAATTGCGTCAATAAATAAATGCATAAAGTATGCAGATGAGAGAATGCGAGTTATGTAGCGACCTAAAAAGTGAGGTGCATCCTGGGATGCTTTTCAAACACTAGTTAGGGAGTTTGTTAATTAATGCTTCTCCTTTACTACAGCTCATTCTTTACAGAAACTGGAAATAGCCTTTATATGTAATGCATTATAGAGGTTTTAATGAACTAATTATGCCTTGCAACATGAATAACTGTAACCACAAGTTACAGTTGCTTTTTGTTAATTGTATAATAATTGAAAAGAAAACAAAAGAGAAGCTAGTGTTAGTTTATTTATTTATTTTTTCAGATGCCAGGGCAAAATTTCTCATTTTGATTTAGTTTTACTAAAATAAATATATATATAAAAATAAATAAATAAATAAAAACTATACAGACATTACAATAAAAAATACAATAAATCAGCTAGCTGCCAAGGCAATGTTTGTCATGTTCATGTTGTAAATAAAAGCTGTATAGCCATTTAAAACTATTAAAATGATAAAACTATAAAATTATTTCAGCTAGTTGCCCATTCTATATTTCTCACGTAGGTCGAGTAGTATAAAATAATAAAAAAACTGAAATAAAAATCAACTATGTAGACATTTAAAAAAACAAAACCTAATAAAAATGAAAAAAAAAAAAAAATTACTAAAACCTCTTAGAACTGTAATAGTATTTTGATGCTAAAATAACACTTAGTTATGAAAATGATTATAGTGCATTATGCATAACTTATTTAAAATATATATTTTTAAGTTTTGTAATAAAATCAGTATGTATAAAATTATTATTTGTATGCAGATATTTATGCCAGAAGGCTTAATGCTGGAGGCGGCGGAGTTTCTGTTCTCACGGTTACAGTGTGATTGACAGATCAGTCCCGAGCAGAGAGATGCAGCTCACCTTGGTTACGGGGGCGGAGCTTCACGGCGGTGGGCGGGGCCTCCTCGAGTCCGGCTGCCTTCAGAAGGGTGTCTCACCCCTTCAGGAGACAAGAAGAGTCAGTCCAGAGTGAAAGCAGCAGAAGAGCGCTTCAGAGGAACACAGAGGCTTGCTGCTCGCACAGATCACAGCAGCGACGTGTGTAACTCTGTGTGCTGCAGGAAAACTGCAGGCCAACTCTGAGCGCTTCACAAATCAACCTGCACAGACCTGGAGAAGTGCAGCGCTGCATCACTGCGGTGGATGGGTGCCGTCAGAACGAGAGCTGATAGAAACATCACAATAATCCACCGCACTCCAGTCCATCAGTTCACATCTGGAGAAGACAAAAGCTGAGACAAATCCATCATTAAGACGTTAACCATAATAACGCTTCCTCCAGTGAGTCAGTGTTCTGGTGTGAATCAGGAGAGAAATCT